TGGCAAGGGACACACTGACAAAGGAGATTAATCAGAACTGGCTTTGACAAGCACTGTGGCAATTGGACAATTAAAACAGACATAGTGGGGGGGAAGAAGAACAAACTGGGGAGGAGGGTGGAGAAAACAGTGCAACTATGAATGAATGAAAACTCAAAATCTCTGTAAATGTTCATTAAAACGAATAAAATTTAATAAAAAAAAACACAACAAAGTTCGGGGATAGGGGGGTTGGAGCATGCTGCTAGAATGACATTAAGTTATTAAGTATATCTGAATATTAAGATGTACTGCAAATAATTAGATTATGAGATGGCAACATTTTCCACCAGTGATGATGTGATAAGCTGCTACTCATAATTACCTTGGCAAATGTGGACCCACGTCCTTCTGATTCAATTGTAATAGTTTTTGTACGACGCTGTAAAATCTGATCAATATCCTCTTCACAGAATTTAGAGCCTTCATCTTCTTCTTCCATAATGGCACCATATGCACCTCTCCGAAGCAAGTCTTCTATTTCTTTTTTAGAAAGTTGTTGAATCTGAGAATATTAAATTAAAAAAAAAAGTAGCATGAAGAAAGATCTATTAAAAATGTCAGGTAACAAAAAGCTATTTCGGATATGGGATGCAAAGAACTGAAAACTACATGAAAGAATACACTGTTACATATCATTGACTTTTTAATTTATTTACTTTTCATGATTGTGTATCTTAAAACAAAAAACAAACACAACAAAACACACACATGCCTGAACTGGCTTCAGGACAAAAAACCCAACAAAATAAAAAACAAAAACAAAAAAGAACCAATAAAATACCAAACTCCAAGAAGCCATAGCCTATTAAATTTATTTGAGTTATGTGATTCAAATATTAACAAGATATGTAACAAAGTATGAACATCCTAAGGCAGAAAAATTGTCCTCAAAGCCCAACATTTACAACAGAAAAAAGTCAATGCCAATATCTGACACTAAAAAATTATCTGAAAACCACTTACGAAAATAACACAGTAAACTATTCAAATTTCTGTTATGCCAAAAAACATATCTTTTAAAAAAAAAATAAAGAATTTCTACGTTTGTAGAATTTTCAAGCACTATAAGACAAGAGAGGATGCAAAAATAAACATAATTCTATTCTGAGGGATGCCTTCTATAATAAAAGCATATTACCCAAGATCCAGTACATTTTAAATTGATAATATATCACTGAAGGTAAAATTAAACGTAAGAAAAACCAACACAAAAACACAAAATGAAGAAGAAAAATATACGTACACCACCAACATTATTTTCTCTTCCACTCATGCTCTGTAATACAGCCTTATCTAGACCCAGTTTCAAACTGGCTCGGTCAAACATCTCTCTCTCATAAGAGTTACGAGTTACAAGTCGGTAGACTTTAACTGCTTTGTTCTGACCAATTCGGTGACAACGAGCCTGAGCCTATTAAAACAAAAAAAAAAAAAAAAAAGAAAGAAAGAAAAAAAGAAAAAGTTATTGTTATATTTATTTAACTCCAAATTAATTTAATAGTAAAATATCCTGAAGAAATAGAAAACAGGTATGAATGTTTATACACCAATTGCTTTAAAAAAAAAAGCTGTAAGTCTTTAAAAATCAAGGTAGGATTTCTGACAAGAAAAGATTCCACAAGTTGCAATAGGCCAAAATTTAAGTTTTTATTTCACAGAAGAAGAAGACATAACAGGTGAACAGTTGTTGGGCTTTCTTTTTTAAAAAAAATGAAAAAAGAATGTACTATTAGTATAATACTAGAATGGCAAATTGTCTATGGATGGATTTTTTTAAGATTGAAAACAAATATTTGCTGCACTATGTAAAAAATAGGGAGCTCTGGTGCTTTATGGCTAAGGAGCTACACTGCCAACCCAAAGACACGCGGTTGTAAACCACGAGCTGTTTCAAGGAGATAGACGAGTACTCTTTCCCCATGTGATGTACTTCCTCAGAAAACCTGTGGAGTCTGGTACAACCCAAAGCACATAATAACTACAACATGTGAAAAAGATATGGAAAAACACTCAACAAAAAATTGTGATGTGCTTACTTCTAGAAAATGAAATGCTTATTGATGAAGTTCCAAGATTATAAAGCCTTTAGTAAGGATTGTATCGCAACATAAAACAAAAATCCTAACAACTGACAGTAACATTACTATTGGAGAAAAGACTGAAATTATCAAAGATTTCATATTAATTGAGTCCACAATCAATAAACATGGAAACAGTCAAGAAATCAAATTATGCCCTGCACTGTGTATATGTGTTACCAAATAGCTCTTTAAAGTGCTAAAAATACTAAGTGCACCTAAGCAAACCAATAACATTTTCAATTAATTACTGCATATGAGTGTTAAACTTGGAAAACGAGTAAGGAAGATAAAGGAAAATTGATGCATTGGAAATGTAATGCTGGTGAGCAATGAGGACTATACATTGCACTTTAAAAATAAATCTTTCTTGCAAGACGTGGAGCCAGACTGCTCCTTAGAAGAAAGGACAATAAGACCTATACATTTCAAGTAAATTTTTCATACTTTGAATTACATACTATTCATTACCTGTACTTACAATAATGAGTAGTTTAAAAATGCAATCTGTATTTAAGCCTGATATAGTCATAAGCTAACCCTCCGATGGGTTTCCTGACCTGTACATTAGATAGGAAGAGTTGCTGCTGGATCGGAATGCCCAGAAGTGTTGCCACCTTTGTGTAAGCAAGGCAAAGGCAGAAAGTTCAAATCCACATGAGCGACGGGCAATTTCCTCCTTTGTGATTTATGCACTCTGCAACTCACTGGAGGGTTAACTGTGAGTTGGGCCTGATTCCAGCGGCAATGAACTGCAAGTCTCAGGAACAATTTACCACTGGTATTACAGCTATTTTAAACAAGGCAAATTGCAGCATAATTCTCAATAGTTCTTATTTCTATTCTCATAGATTTCCCAGATCCTCATCAGATGTAAACCTGTCACTACAATTATGAAATTCTATAGTATTTTGTAAAAAAACCCCAACCGTGCAATAACGTACCTCTAGTCAATGCACATAAAAAGTTGATGAATAATTATTTGTGTACCATTAATACCCTAAAAGTTTCACTTATTTAAAATGTTATTCTTAGACTGTTAAGACTTTCAAAGGATTACATTTTTGTTCTTAGGGCCATCCAGTCAACTCTGAATTTTTGGCTGACCTCTTCTAACTTTCCTAACATGGTGGACTGAACTTGGGTGGAGAGACTGAATAACAAAGTTTTTCTTTTTCTTTTCAAGGAGAAGAGTGATTTTGGGGGTGAGGCGGGGGGCTGGGCAGGGAGAAAAGTGCAACAAAGAATTGCTGGAAATCCCAAGTCTCTGTAAACGTTCATTAAAATTAATAAATAAATTTTTAAAATGCAACTCTTTAGACGATTTGTTCATTACCCAGACTGAATAGGTATATAACCCTCAAACACCTTTATACAAACACATTTGCTGACTTTAAAGCAAGCAGCGTTGTTCCTTTTTTTTTTAATTCTGGCATTTTTTTTCTGTCTTTGTGTAAGTTTTGAGTCAACGTTCTCCAGCCTTTTCTGAATTCAGCTTCAATTTCTGCAAGCTCTGTATGGTTCAATTTCTGCAAGTTCCGTTCCAGCCATTTTTAAATAACTCTAATCAGGGGTGAAGCAGGACAGGGGGATAATCACAGAGTCACACCATTTGGAGAGGGTAAAGAAAATGGGAAAGATATGGGGATCTAAAAAACAAGGCATTGACTACTCTGATGGATTACATTTCTGGGGGAAGGAGAAAATAATACGGGTCTCTGCCAGTCAGTTAACCAGGCTTCCAAAGTTTTTGCATTGACTGGGTAAGCACATCCAGGCCTGCATTAGTTTGTCAAAACACCTCAATTGGAATACCATCAATTTAATTACCACAGGCACTGATTACAGGCTACTTCCAGAATGCTTCATTGTAGATCATTTCTTTTTAGTATAGTAACTGTGTATTCTTTCCACTTCTTTTGATGCTTTCTTTATCATTAAAGACTTTGCCCATAAAATCCTTAGGTATTGCAACTTGAGACTTGGATTTGTTTTTCAGGTCTTTCATCTTGAGAAATGTGCAGCTAAATCTTATTTCATTTTGTAACTCCAACTCCTTGTACATGTTGTACACTATCTTCTTCAGCTGCCCTTAAAAATGTGCTGTTGATCTCTCTCATTTCATCCTTTTGTTTTGTTAATGTATCTTTGTAATAATCTTTAGCTTCCCTTATTGATGCCATCCAACAATTTGGCCTTCAGTCATTAGTATTCATCAACAAGTCTAGTCTTGAGATGGTTTTTAAATTCAGTTGGGATAGACTCAAGTTCCTATTTTTGTTCTTTTTCACTTGTTTTCATTTTCTTCAGTTTCACAACTTGTACATAAGTAATTGATTAGGAAATTCTACTCTTTAGGAAATAAATATGATTTGATCCAGAAATCCTAAGTATTCACTCAAAAGAAGTAAGGTTTATAAAACAAATTAACATACACACACCCATGTTTATTGGTTGATGAGACATTGTATTTAACGAATCACATGAATCAATGGCAATTAACGTTATAAAACAAAAAGTCTATAATTGATTGCTTGAAAAACCAATATGACTTTGTAACCTGTCATTCTAATTAAGACAATTAAGTTAAAAATTCTTTTGTCTCTCTTAGGCAAAGAATTTATTTACCTGTAGATCATTTTGAGGATTCCAATCAGAATCAAAAATTATACATGTATCAGCTGCAGTTAAGTTGATGCCTAATCCACCAGCTCGGGTACACAGGAGAAAGACAAATCGATCCGAATCAGGTTTACTAAATCGATCTATAGCAGCCTGTCGGAGATTCCCTCTGACTCTTCCATCAATTCGCTCATATAAATATCTATTAAACAAAAAAACATTTACAAGATGAAAATATCAAATGTAAAGCCAGTGTTTTTATATTACTATTTATCATAAGAAGCAGTATTAGAGATTTATAGCCTCTGAAAAACCACTGAAGGGGCAGCTACATTTGTCAAATTGATAACACATAACAACAAAAATGAGAAAAATCGGTACAATTTGATCTGAGTATAATGAATACTTCGCAAAATTTAATGATATAAGCACACAGATACTCTCTATAATCAATACTACCACTTTCATCATTTCTAAACTTGTAGTCTATCACCTAGCGCAAACTGAAAGTACAAAGTATCATGCTGATCCGTCTCTCTTTAGGCTCAAGACAGTTCCTTCTACATATGATTAATTAGGTAGTTTCAAGAGGTGTTCCCCTCCTAATCTCTCCTATCTCTGATATAAAGGGTGCAGTTTTTAACAAACTTTCCACCCCCACAGTTGGGTTTTTTTTTTTATGAAAAGAAATAAACTTGGTTCTATTCCATGAAGTTAATTATAATGTAATTTACAGATATAAAAAGCTTTATGTAAATAGAAAACTTTTTTGTGAGATGTAGGAAATTATAAAATGGTTATTTTTTTTAACACTGCAATTTAACGTATCTTCCATGTATATGGTATAAAATTAAGAATAACAGATTTTTTAAATGAGGCTAAAAGGAATGACACATTAACACTGATATGGAGCTAGAAATAATAATGAAAAAGTGCAAATGAAATCACATAGTCTTTGCAGGTTGTATAGTCTCACTGTCCTGTATGTACATATATATATACAATTAGTACACTGTCCTCTATGTGTGTGTGTGTGTACTACTAGTATTACTAGTATTAAACCAGAAAAGAGTAAACATATTTACAAATCTTATAGTTTACAATAACAGTCAAAGTACACTGGATTAAGATCCTAATTATAACAATGAAGTAGATCTACTAAAGATCTACTAAAGGCTCTAAGATGGTCATGTTAAATATGAGTTATTTAAACATCATTACCAGAAAGTTTATAAATCATGTAAAATGTACACTGATAAACCCACTTCTCGTTCAATAAATACCTGACTATTTGAAAGTTTGCTTATTTAGTCTTCCTAGTCTAATTTAATATTATGAGAGAAGTACATTAATAAAAACCTTAAGATTAAGCACTTCCTACACAGAAGTTTAAATGAGTTCTTATATGGAAAGAAGGACAAAGATGAGTAAAGAACAACAGAACAAAACCTAATAAATATTTTGTACAGTTTATAACAAAATGAAATGCATAAATTATGCCTTGCCTTTTATGTATAAGATAGTCCTCCAGGATGTCAAGGCAGCGTACCATCTGAGAGAATATGAGCACTTTATGACCTCCTGCTTTCATTTTGGGAAGTAATTTATCAATAAGAACCAATTTACCAGCAGACTGAATCATTGCTTGAAGATGAAAGTCAGAAGCAGCTGGATTATAAGTATCTCTAAATTCTTCCAAAATTTTCTCCTCAGCACCTGTCAAAGAACACAAAAACCTTCACAACATATACTCAGCACTATCCACAACATAACTGAAAGTACTAGACTATGCCTTGACTTTATGTATACACAAATAAGCAATGTCCATTTGTTTTCTTTTTTAATCCAGATTAGTATTCCATTGATGACAATTACATCACTTTTATTAGATTTATATTATTTATAATTTTATTTCATTAATAATTCGTTATATTACTGGATAAATTCCTATATTCTTGGAGAAAAGACTATTTGTTTGGAAAAGCAGAGGGTTAGCAAAAGCGAGGAAAACCCTCAGTAAGATGGACATACGAAATGACCGCAACAATGGACTTGAACACGGTAAAGATTTCAAAGATGGCGTCGGAGAAGTTCAGAGTCACTACAAGCTAAAAATCAAAGCAAGAGGAGTCTGGACGGCATAGCAGAAGTAAGTGTTGTGCTGCCAACAGACATTTGTTAGTTAGAATGCATGAGCTACTTCACGGGAGAAAGACTGGCAGACCTGTCTCATGTGATTTATAGCCTTGGAAATGTGCTGGAAGATTTGCAAGGAGTTGTTTTCAACGAGTCTGGAGCCTGTGACTTTTTCTTTCAGAGAGCTGGTGAAGGGCCAGTGCATTAAGGCAGTTTTCAATGAAGTGGCTCTGAAATACTTGTAATTCCTATAAAATCCAGAGTGAGGAAATACAAGATCCCTCCCTTTTGATGTCAGGATTGCTACATCAGTATTGGTAGGTTGTTTACTCATGATTACTTGTTAATATAAAGTGTATTTTTCTCTAATTCGTGGTAGCTACCTTTTATAAGGTATGGATGATTACAGCACTTTCTGAGCTCCATCATGGTATTAACCAAGTTAGGGACATTAGTTTGTCCCGCTCCTTTGGATAAAAATGAAAAGTTTTTCTCCAAAATAGCCCGATAGTATTTCTTCTGAATATTAGTAAGTTCTACTTCAATGATGGTTTCCTCCTTAGGTGCCAACTTCTTTTCTACATCTTCTTTTAATCTCCTGAGCATCATAGGCTTTAGGATAGCCTGAAGTTTTTGTACCTACATTTAAAAAACAAAAAAAAAAACCACAAAACCAAACACAACACAGCGTTATTTAACAAATGAGAACAAACAACAAAACGAACTATAATGATTAAAAATTTGAGATATTTATTAAAAAGGTTGGTAGGATACCTGTTCTTCTGTTTTCAGGTCGCCAAATTCTTGCATAAATGTTGATTCAGAGGGAAATCTCAAGGGTTCAAGAAAGTGAAGCAGACTGAAAAGTTCTTCAACTGTATTTTGGAGAGGGGTACCAGTCAAAAGCACTTTGTGTTCCTATATAAAACAAGGATAATTAACATAAAATATCAAAGTGAAAACAATTCTATGAGAGTGAATTTAAGTTTCCAAATATTTAATGATAGAGAAGGAAATACTATTTAAGTTTTTAAGAATGAACTCAAAATACCAATCTATCCAAGATTCTTCCTCTCCCAATCAATCACTTTCTAAAAATTCCTGAAACGTGTTAACACTAGAGTGCTTTTTTTTCACCACTTGCTAATAATATGTGAATGGATATACACAAAATAGTAATTTAGGAAACTGAGTGAAAAGGATTACTAAGGTGATGCAAAGGAGACACAGTTGATAAAAGACAGTCCTTGTGAAAGAAACAAAGAGAAATGTATAGAAATAGGGGGGAACACTCCTGGAAAGTCAGGTAGACCCCAACCTATGGATGCTGCTGGGATAAGTGAGCAAATGAATCTAAGGTGGGAACTATTATTTATTGGCTCTCAGTCTCTTAAGACTGGCTTGATAGGGACTTATGGGATTGGATGGAGTTTGGATCTTCTGCACTCCGAAAGAGGCAGCCTGGTGCATCTGGTTCTTATTTCTTCTGAGAAACTTTGCTTTTAGTCTTTTTATATGTGAGTAGGAGAGAGATACAGAATGATCACGTGGCAATTTTTTTTGTTTTAAACTTTACATTGTGGTTAGTTTGGGGTAAAGTTTTAAAAACTTTTAATCATTATTGTAATATTTTATTTTGCAGCAAATTAATTTTACCTACTCATGCTATTTAAAATCTGTTCTAAATAATCTTACAAGAATAGTTACTAAAAATAAAATTTTTCTATTTTATTGTATCGAAGTGCTCTTGGTCTGATAATTTGTACAAGAAAATAATTTTACTATTCACATGAGAAGAATTCTTAAGTAATCTAAGGTACAATCCGTGAATGGAAAGGGCTAACTAGACTCAAGACTTCAAGTATAATTACACACAGAACAATATCAACCCATTAAAAAACTAAATAATCTGGGGAGCTCTGGTGGCCTAGTGGCAAGAAGCTGCAACTACAATCCCAGAGGTGCACGGTTCAAATCCACCAGATGCTCTGCCGGGGAAGGAGGGGCAATCTCCTCCTGTACCAGTCAGATCTAATTTGACGGTACACGCACACAAAAATAATAAAATTTAAAAAAAAATTAAAAAAAAACAAAAACAAAAACAAAACTAAATAATCTGACTGTTATTGTTAAGTGCTGTTGAGTCGAGTCGTAGTCATAATCTAACTAGAGAACAATAAATTCCAAATAAAATATTTGTGTATGTAGCTGTACACTTTACATATATATAAACCATATATAACTGTGTGTGTATATATATATTTTCCTTATTAATTAATGCAAGAAATCTATATTATCACTGACAGTAAAACTTTTGGATTAGCTCTGCTTCTCTGTGACATGTTATTATCTAAGAAATTCAATTAAACAAAAATAATGACACTTATTACTTACCAGATTCATGAGTTTCAAACCTTCTAAGAGTTTACAATTTTTATTTTTTAACCTATGTGCTTCATCAATAATCACACATCGCCACTCAATTGCATTAAGTTCTCCACAGCCTCCAAGAATCATTTCAAAAGTGGTGATGATGGCTTGGAATCTGTAAGCACCTCGAATGATACGCCCCTAATAATATATTATCAGATACAAGAATTTGTTAGAGTGTTGGTTAATTTCATTTTAATAAATTCACATGAAATAGTATAAAAATGGAACTAATGACATTTATTGTAACACATTTTCCAAAGACATTTTAACATGTGTATAAATAGTTCCCTAAATGAGGAGTTTTATAATTACAACTATATTAAAACATATATTTAAAGTGTTAAAATTAATGCCAACATAATCACAAATTTATAACTGCATCCCAATAAATTTTTCCTATTAACATTTTTTCTATAATATATGAAAAGACTGATAAAAAGTTTAAGAAATCATCATGTTAAAGTCTGGTGAGATTTCAGTATGATTGTTCATCTATTATACCTATAAATGCAGAGATATAAAGGCATATAAGTGACTACAATCAAAATTAAGTCATTCAAATAATTTATTCAAGGTCTATGTGCCAGACTTTGTTCTTGTTCTTGAACATATAATAATTTTTAAAAGACCAAAAATATTTACCCTAGTGGAATGCATATTCCAATGTTTCTTTTCTAATGCTAGTACAATAATTAAGGAAACAAAGCTGAAAATAAGTAAATATATGATAAAAACGTAAAGTAAAAATACAGTATCAAATAGATAACAGAGGGACAGAGATCATTATCATTTCATATGCAGTAGCAAGGAGGATTTTTCTAAGAAGTGACTATTGAACAAAGACTTGAAGATGAGAGAAAATCATGTTGATCTTTAGAATAGCAAACATGGGTGGATGAAACAAGCTTAAGTGTGAAGGTCTTATGATGAAAGAATTCTTGGCAGCAGTCACAGTCAAGCAAAGAAACCAGAGTGGCTGAGGTAGGGATGAGGTAAGACTGTGTTGGGACTAAAAGTGTAATCATTCTAGTTCTTACTCTGAAGAAAAAGAATTCTCAAATAAGAATTGCCATGACCTGACATATGTTTACAAAGCATAAATACTGCTGCTGTGTGAAAATAGCCTAAAACAAGTCAAAGAGAGGATTCAAGAAAATTATGAAGCTGTCATAACAATATATGCAAACAATCATCATTAGAAGACATGAGATGTAGTTAGTTTTGGATATATTTGCAGGTAAAGCCAATAAAGAATACAAATAGGTATGAAAAGACAAAGAGAGGTTTTATATTTGACACTAATGTTTTTAGCTAAATCAGCTGGAAACTAGTGTTGGTATTCATCAAAATGATTGTCAACATTTTGTTTTGTATGTGTCAAATTTGAAATGTCTATCTAGTATCAAAATAAATCAGAAAGGGATTTGTATATAACTCCAGAGTTCGGATATCTCTGGGAGAATGAATACAAATAGAAAAGAGTATGAAAATTGAGTTCTAGGTCACTTCTAACTTTACATCTAGTAAAAAGGAGACAAAATCTGTAAAGAGGTTTGAGGAGGAGTAAATGTTAATATAGGATAGAATGAATACCTAAAATTTTAAAGATTAGGTTTGGAAATCAAAATGGCTAAGAACTAAGAGAGAGTAAAAGTTAAGATAGACATAGAAATTTTATTTTGATTAGTATTAACTTACACTATTATAGGTTATACTAATTTGGATACTGTTGCTATTAACTGAAAAATAATGCGAGGAGACCATCATTAAAGGAAGTATAAAGAAGTAAGAACAGACGGGACTGAAAGCAGTCTCAGCCCTGGAGCATATTATCACCATGAAGGGGATCTGGAAGGTCTCTGCTAAACAAAGACTATTTTCTAAAGTTCTTGATAAGGTTGTTGAGAATGCAGTACCTTGTTCATGAATACAAAGATGTTTTCTTGAAATCTGTTCATATCAGCTATGCTTTGTTCCATATTACCCATGCTTTATTCCTTCTGTTTAAACATTTACCGACACTACGAGATCATATTTTACGGTAAGCTTTGATTTTCTGCTAATGTAAGAAGAGGCTTTATAATCTCTCAGTGTCATTTGCTTGGGAGAGCAGTGACCCTTTGGTCTTCTCTCGACTCCGCGAACACACAAACAACAAATGATCTTATTACTTGGCATATCATATTTAGAGCAATGGTAAAAGAATATTCACTTTTTCATGTATTAACATGTTTGGCAGTAATGAATGCCATGGTGTGATGTGAGAGCACTGCTACTTGTGGTGGTTAAGGTATCTGTCAACTTGGCTAAGGCAGGGTATCAGTGGTATGGAAGTGATGGAATTCTGTAATTTATCAGCCATGTGATGATATAATCTGTCAGTTACATAATGATCCAAACTGATAGTCAAAAGTAATGATGGATCCATCATACATTCTGCAATCTGATGTGGTTATTTCAACATAACTCTCATTTTTGTGCAACAATCTGTTCTTTGAAATGTAACTATGTCAATAAATGAGGCATGAATGCATACTACAAGTAAAATTCTATCTGTAGACTATTTAGGACATAGTCTGGCAAATATATTCAAAATATATTTGTGATATTAGTGTTATTTTTTGCTATCATATTTTTTGAGAACAATTTATAAATTAATGGCATAGTTTTCTATCTGTCATTTTAAGTTATTTAATAACTAGAAAAGCTGAAGTTAAATAGTCAAATAATTACATTTGAGAAATATTCTAAACATTATTTCTAGACATAAAAAAATAGATTTCTTTCATTATCTGAGATTACACTGCATTATCTTTTGAAATGCAAAAGGTTTACAGATAAAATTCTGTTGTTAGGGTGCCATCACATCAGTGGATCCAAACCACCTGCCCTGCAATGACAGTGCAACTCTTCACCTTCTGACTCAGCAGAGTGACATCTGGCTTAAAACATTTTTAACATACATGGAGTTATAGTGGCACAGTCCATAAAGATGCACTGCTAAATCAAAGGAGGTACCTCTCTGGTGATCTGCACTCACCAGCAGGTCCAGAGGAGAAAGAGGCAATTGCTTCCAACCACACGATATAGAGCTTGAGAAGTCCACTGGAAGGTGGGCTACGAGTCAGTTCTAACTTAACATCTAGTTTCTCACATAGCAAGACTCTTTAAAATTTGTACTATATTTATATTCAACTCCTAAGACATATTAAAATAATAACTTGACCTTGTGAAGAATACCTGATGGTCTAGTAAGGAATGGCATTACCACTAACTGAAAGGTTCTACCCTCCCAGGCAATTTACACTGGAGTGCCTACCATGAGTTGGCTCTGACTGGACAGCACAGGGCAACAACGTCAAAAGAAAAGAACTTATCACCATGCACCTCTAAAAGTCTACAAATATATAAATAAAAGAGTAATGAAGCACTATAAAGGAAATTAGATAATAACCAAAGTAAGATTATTACATACTCCCTAAGGCTAAATGATGGCAGCACTTAATAGAAATGATAGTAATTAAAGGGTTTTATAGTTCTTTAATATTCATGGATATGTTTCAATTTCAAAATTAGGAGGTAAAAATAAAGTTAAAAGAATAAATAGAGTTAATTCATCCATCTCAAGATTCAAATAGGTAGAAAATAATTGACCTTAAGTAAAGGCTACAGACATTACCTTACCTCAACCTCTGTTCATCTCATGACCTGGTCACTGTTGAAGTGACAGAACAGTATCAGGTGATGAACAATTTCTATGAAATGTACAATTTTGTGGAGATTATTTTTTTAACTCTTTTCCTGTGTCTTAATAAAGAACTCACTTAAGACTAAAACTTGGCACTTCATGAGCTCGAGTTTAAACTTACAGGTAGAAAATTCTTTCCTGTCTCTTGATTTTATGATCTGTGTGTTTAGGAAAAAATGGGAACTCTTTCACGAATGATTAAGAGGCCAAAGAAAAATACAAATGTGACTTTTGGATGAAAGCAGAAGAGGAAATTGCACTATTTAGAGTATTAATGTAACAACTGAGGATGCTCTGCTGGAGAAGGAGGGGCAATCTCCTCCTGTACCCGTCAGATCTGATTAGAGAGGACACACACACAAAAACTGATAATAAAAAAACCCAACTGAAAACAGGGGAAAGAATTAAAGTATGTTAAAACCAGCACAAAAAACAACATCTAAATCCATGAAACAGAAAATCTATAATCTCACAACACAGGCTTTTAAAATTACTACTTCATTGAAGATATGAGTTGAAGCTTTAAGTGAAAGAAAAGATCAAAAAAGATAGCTATTCTTCTTAAAGAAATAGAACCTAATAGTATAATAAGAACTCCAGTTTGAAAAAAATTTAAGGAATACAGTTAAATTGTGTATGTGTATAAATCAGCCTTTTTGATGGATTAAAGAGAACATGAAATTTATTTGTGGTCATTATTCTCTTAAGCTACTAAAATATTTTTAAATATAATAAAGGACATAACTTAGACCCAAATATCTCCTACATTTGAAAGCAGTTGCTGCGTAACGGTTGCACATTTGAACCTGATCTTTGAAACTCGTTATGATAAAAAACTATCAGCACCACACCTGTGAGTCCCTGAAGTACATTTCATATTGCTGTATCATCTGTCTGCTAATCAGGCTCCCATGATAAACCACAACATTAATATCAGTCCAGGTACGAAATTCTCTCTCCCAGTTTGCAATAGTAGAAAGTGGAGCTATAATCAGGAAAGGTCCACGTATACCAGTCAGAAGGATTTCGTAGAGGAATGTAATTGATTGAATAGTTTTTCCAAGACCCATTTCATCTGCTAAAATGCAGTTTCGTCTAAAACAAACAAACAAATTGTCCATGTAAATACTGATTTTTTTGCACATTACATTTTTAACTATTAAAACCCAAAACTAATAAAAAATCAAATAAAAAAAACCTTGCATTTATACAATAATAATTGCTGAAATGCAGACTTAGCTCAGGATTATAATTTCATTAAACTCTATAAATGGGGAAATTACTACAGATTTTTGTAGTTCCAAAATAAAGATACCCACTTATCAAATGTCTGTTTTATAAAAGATTGCAATGGCAGGAATAAGGCAAGATAAATGTATTCTTGATTCCGGAAGCATTAATTAAATTATCTTCTACAGCTCAGGGACAGGGAGCTCTGGTGGCTTAGTAGCTAGGCAGCTGCGCTGTCAACCCAAAGGCAGGCAGTCTGAATCCACCAGCTGCTCTGCAGGGAAGAGAGGGTCAATCTCCTATGCCTCTGAAAACTCGCTGGAGGGTCAGCTATGAGTCAGTTCTGACTCTTCTGCAATGATTGACTGACAGAAGTCTCAGGGACAGTGCGAGAAGATGGGATACAAAAGAAATAGAACATGTTCTCTGCCTTCCAGGGCCTTGTATCTATTAGAGAAGCAGACAGGTAAATAAATAAATAGTCATGCAATGAATATACTATCAGAGAGACAAAAAAAAAAAAAAAAGCACTAGTTTCCAATCTTTCAAGGCTTGGAGAAAATCAGAAACCAAGTCTTTAGGGAACAGATTGTGATAAATTGTTTATTAAATAGGGTCAAAGGAGTCATAATTTTTAAAACAACCTGTACTAGAGGTTATGATATTTGGTTGATTAAGAATTATTAGGATTATATTTACAAAATAAACTAAGAGGAGTAAGTGCTAAAATTGATCAAGAAGGAGAAAAAGATTCAGAAAGGTCAGGAAAACAGGGTTTTCACATGGGTACAGCAATGGTGCAGCAGTATAGAAAACACTATCATCTGGGGATCGCAAGGTTTAATGTGTCTGAGGGAAGATAATTAAGTAGAAATCCTGTCAGTAGGGAGCGCTGGTGGCCTAGTGGCAAGAAGCTGCACTGCAACCCCAGAGGTACGCACTTTGAATGCAACATACGTTCTGCTGGAGAAGGAAGGGCAATATCTTCCTATATCTGTCAGATCCGATTTGATGGCACACACAAAAAATAATAAAATCAAAATTTTAAAAAAGGAAATCATGTCATTGAGTATTTTGAAACTCATCATCATGCGACTGATCTTTTATTTATAAGTTTGTGCTTGTGATATTGTTGATATTAGAGGGTAAACTGAATGGAAAGGGGACACTAAGAAAGTGTCCGAAAGTAACAGTGCAAAGAAAATCTAAACTAACAGTAGACTCTGAATGAAGGGATAAAATCGAAAAGGAGAGAACTGATTCAAGAGTTAATTTTAAGTTTAAATGACTTGGACCTTGAGATGAAATAGATATATAAGGCACAGGATGAAAGTTAAGGATTTCAGATCTAGTGACTAAATGAATGGATTCTGAGCTAAGATGTAAAATATAGACCAAGAAAAAAAATGGAAATGGAGGAAACGGAAAATTAAACTCTGATTTTTAATATACTGGGTGTAAAAAAAAATCATCAAAACTGACATTTCAGTAATTTAAAAAGTCAAAGTCATTTCCATAAAGTCAGAACCAATTCATAGCTGATCCTCCAGCAAGTTTTCTGGTGACAATAAACTGCACCCAAAATTGCCCACTTTCCCCCCTCATGGAGCCTCATGGGCACAGGTGTCAACTTTTGGTCAGCAGCACAACTTCCTATGTACTAAGTATGTCACCAGAGCTCCCTTCAATTTCTAATAGGCAAATAGAAATATGAACCTGGAACTAAAATGAATTCCTTAGTTAGAAATAAAAAGGGCCATCAGAACATTAGTGCCAAATGACGATTCAGTTGGAGTATATGAGAGATGGTCTCTACAGTGGTGAAGAGAAGATATTTAAACTTTCAGAAAAGTGACAATATCAGAATCCAGACGGGCAATGGAAAAGAACTGGGAGTGAGGAAATGTGGAGAAGTAATGCAGGATTAGAAAAAAAAAGAAATAAATTAATTTCTGCTACTCTCTTCTTTCAGACAAGGTCCAAGTGGTATCAGCATGGTATCTGTGGTATCACGGCCTCTTTTGAATTTAAAGTTCTTGACGTTCCCTTTCAATGTACTGCTACAGCTGTTTCTGGATAATCTTCTGATTTATTTGATAAAACGTATGGATCTCTTTAAAGTCAGTTGGCCTGGTGTCTGCCTTCCAAATTTCTTGGCATAGGCTAGTGAGCGTATAGAAGGCTGCATTTGTTTAAACATCTCAATTGCTATTCAGCAATTCTTACCACTGTCTTTTCTGCCAGTGTCTTGAATGCAGGTATCACTTCTTTATTACCACTGGTTCTTGCTCACATGGTACTTCCTGAAATAGTGCAGTATTTAACAATGCTTCTTGGTGCAGGGACTGTGTATATTCTTTCCATTTTCTATTGATGATTCCTGCATCATTCATTTTGCCACAGAAACCTTTAATATTGTTATTCAATAAAAATGTCTTTGACTGTGAAGAAGCATTTGAACATGAAGACCAAATCCCTGTTGCTTAACACTGAGTAGGATGGAAATCCCAAAACTCACTGTGCTCATGTGAAATCTATACATGAAATGCAGTTGTTTGAAGAGAAAAAGAAAATACTGTTTGGTTTGAAATCAGGACAGGTGTGCATCAGGGCTGTAAGTCTTTCTCCAGATTTATTCAATCTGTATGCTGAGCAAAGAAGAATGTGGCATGAGGATTGGAGGAAGACTCTTAAACAACCTGTATTAGGCAGATTACAAAACGCTTTTTGCAAATCAAGAAGACTTGAAGTAGTTGCTGAAGATCAGAGACCACATAATTTAATATGGATTTCCTTTGTCACAATTACAGAATTTATTCAGAAAGTAACAGTTTGTAATTTAGAATCAATGTGAAAAATAAAAAACATCTCGTGATAAAGCTCTTCAATCACAACATTTTGTGACACCTAAGAATAAAGCTAATAATGATAGTAAATGCAAGATGTTTAACACAAAATGAGTGCCAGCAGGAGGAGGCTGAACAAGTTTACTTGCTGGATCGGGGCTTCTCATGATGTTGGACTTGAGGGAAGTGATCAAAGTTTAAAGTCAGCAGTACAGGAAACAGGAAATGGCACTGATGAGCTGGACTTAGTAAAAAAATTTTATTAGCTGTTTTACCTGGATAATTCTGTTAAGAAAAATTACTGAATCAGGAGAAAAGACTTAGTCTATCAAACTGAGTCACACATTCAAAATCACATAAGCTACCTTTTGTGATTTCTGAATAAAGGTGTACATTGTGTTTTTATTGCTAATAATACTGCCTTTATTTTACTTTTTTGTATACACTATTATACTTATTTCCAGATCTCTTCTGCTAGAATTTTATTTCCTTCTCAATAAAGAATATGATGCAATGTTCTATTAAATAATGATGAAGTAAAATAATTAACAAGAAGGATGTAATTCACTTCTTCCTATTTTCAGTTATTGTTGAGGTAATTTTGATTCAATGTATGTGCTCAAAAAACTGCTCCAGAGGGTTTTTAAAGACTTGACCTTTCAGAATCAGAACAAAGAGGGAGGAAGCTGAACTGCCAAATTTTTGGTTCGTAATCAGGTTAACTGTGCCAACACTCAGTCACTACTTTCACTACTTTTCTCATTCTCGGGGAAGTGCAGAGAGGTCTGTAGAAAGCTACACTTTTAACTCAAAAGTGGGGCCTCTCTGTAAGTCCTAATATACCAGCAGCTCGGCAGGAAAAACATGGAAAAGATTCTCCTTTTTTATGTCCTGTATTCTATTTCTTAGTGATTTCTGTGATTCTACTTCCTTAAATTTCTACATTTTAAAAAATGATTTATTTGCTTTCCATAGGAATCACTAGTTGATATTTCAATAACAAGATCCAATTATTAGCACACAGTACTGTAAGTTAACATGGAGTTAGTAAAAAAATTCTCTAGCATAGCACTTTTCTGCTCTAAGAAAGGCATTTAATTTCAAATTAAATATTAATCATCATATGACCTACCTTCTAACCTGACAGGTACACATTTAAAGAAAGCAGCGATAGTAAAAATCTTCTGTCACAATGCATATATTTCACTATAATAAAGTTATCAAGACTACATGACTTTAACATTACAAACAAGCAGAATGTATTTTATTTAGTTACCACATTTTAGGACATATGAAAAGTAATTAACACATACTAATATTTTTCTTTTAAGATCAACTACTTACCTATTATACCAATTGAACAAGAGCCAATTGAGTCCTTCTAGTTGATATTCCCTGAGTTGGTTGCCATTTTTATAGTCCCTGGAGTGATCTATTTTTTTCCAAATATTTGAAGGAGGACGGTCCTTTTAGAAAAGAAAAAAAAATAATGATGGACAATAGTTTTAAAACTAATTATAGAAGTATAATATTCCATGATATATGAATCTATATATATAAGTTCCATGATATATAAATATATAAATAAATTCTGCCGAATAGCAGAATTCTACCAAACTCTCCAAGAACAGTAGAGCAGTAGGAATACTTCTCAGTACATTCTGTAAGACCCATATTATATTAAAAACCAAATAAGACAAAGATATAAGAAAACTAAAGACTAATATTCCGCATGAAAAAAATTGTAGCAATGGAATAGAATAGTGTACAGAAAGACTAATATATCATGATCAAATGGACTTTTTCTTAAGACAGGGAGGCTGGTTTAAATTTGAAGATTTATATCGCTTCTCGGTCTTTTGGCTAAGATCAAGTGTAGTATTTGTTCTTATCAGTTTAAATTTGAAGATTTTTCAGTATCTATAAATAGATGACAGAAAAATATGATAATCCAAATACATGGAAAAATACATCCATTCCTGATAAAAACTCTCATAAAATTATTAATTCAAGGAAACTTAACCTGTTTTAAAATGTCCCCAAAACTCCACAGCTACTATCATACCTAATCAGGAGATTAAATGATTTCTCATTTCAGAAATGAGGGAAAAAATATCCATGTAGCAAAGACATGAACTAGTTAGGAATAAATCTTATAAGGATATGCAATATTCACAGATTTGTTAGTTGCTACCATGTTACTACTTTGCTATTGTTACTGGAATGAGATATTATTGCATTATTACATTGATCACTGGCAGCTGATGGCTAATGAACTCAAGCATTTCTTCATGTGATTTTCAGTAATCATCATGTCTTCTTTGTTGAAAAGGCTTTACATGTATGTGTTGTGCCAATTTGTAAGTTGGTTGGTTGTCATTCTCATGTTGAGGAGCTGGAGCCGCTTACGAATTTTAGAAATGAGTTTTGAAGGATATAGACAAAGTGATGCCTTTGATTTGTGGTACTGGAAAACAATACTAGGTATCTTGGACTGCAAGAACAGCAAGCAGATATGTTTTGGGAAAAGTGTAAGCAGAGAATTCCTTGGAGGCAAAGATGACAAAACTCCATCTCTCATACTCAGGACATGTTACTAGGAGAGGCTGTTCCTTTGAAAGGGATCTCAAGAAAGAAAGACCTTCAAACAAGATGGAATGGCTGCTGCAATAGGCTCAAGTGTGTCAGAGATAATGAAAATAGACTAGGATAGGACGGGGTTCAGGTGGGTTCTGTTGATCACAGGTTCACTATGAGTCATACTTGGCAGGACCGAATTACAACAGCAGCAACAAAAATCAGATATGTCATTGTCAAGTATTTTTACCTTGTCTGTAGACTCTCGTCTCACCTTGTTGGGTTTCTTCCCAAGTATACAAAGAATTAGATTTTGATGGAGCAATTCATCCATTTTATACTCTATCTGTACATTTTTAGGTGTGCTGGGAAAACAATTAATCCCGTAGATTGCCGCTGTTGTTAGGTGCTGTCAAGTTGAGTATAATCCATAGCAACTCTATGGACAACAGATCTGAGCCATCCTTAACATCTCTGACATTCCTGAGTCTATTGGTGAAGTTGCCGTGTCAATTCATCTAATTGAGGCTTGTTATCTCTTTTGCTGACACTCTACTTTTCCATCACTCCTTCTCGATCTTTTGGAAAGATCCCTGACTACAGATTTTCCAGTGTACTATGTCTCCTGGATCTCCTGGCTGCTGGCACCAAGGGTGTCAATTTTGGGTCAACCTATCAGTCCAGGGGTGAGGAATTTTGTTTTCCTGACATTGAGATACATACTGAATACAGTATTCATTGATCTTTTTAAGCAATCACGTCAAATCCTACTCACTATCAGCAAGCAATGTTACTGATGAATCTTCCTCTGATCCTGATGGCACATTCTTTTCACTGGGTCCCCTTTCTCAAACATTTTACTCAGCATACAGATTGAACAGTTACAGAAACTGGATACACCCCTGATAAACACATTTCTTAATTTTAAACCATTTAGTGTCCCTTTGCTCTGTTTTCCCAATAGCCTCTTGGCCTTGGTGTAAGTTTCACACGAGCACAATTAAGTGTTCTGGGATTTCTATTCTTCTCAGTCTTAGATAGAAATTTTTATGATCCACAGAGTCAAATTCCTCTGGATAATCAGTAATGGATAAATCTACATGTTTCTGGTATATTCTGCTTTTAGCCAGGATCAATATGACATCTGGTATCCCTGGTAACATGGTCTCTTCTAAAACCAGCCAGAATTGGCATTTCTCTATGTTCTGGTTTTGACAGCTCTCCCGTACTATTTTGCTTGTATGTGATATGAATGATATTTACAGATAATTTCCACAGTCTGTTGGATCTTGTTTCATCTTCTGCAGAGAGAGATGCTCAATTTTTCTGTCATCTCTTGCAATGAGGCTGTATCTGTAAGTGCTGAGCCATTTCTGTGGGGGGTGGTTCACAGGGCAATGGCTGAGTATAGCCTGATGCTGCTAGGCCACTGTTAAGCTTGGGCAGCTGGGATACTGGGCTCTGTGGCTTTGGTGAATGATAGCATTCATAAAGATCAGGACAGATTTCTATTTATGTTATATCATTTGGAACATAATTTAACAAAATTAAACTGTGTCATGAACCCTGCTTTATTCTACTTAAAATATCTTAAGCTATAATTTGTAAAAACAAAACCATAAATAACTATAAAAAAACTGCACTGTGATCTCATGGCCTAAGTGAATGTTACTGTTTAGAGAAACAATAAAGAATTCTAGAAGCAGATACTCTGCCTGCCTCAAGGATACCAGGTTAAGCAGGTGATCACCTTCTTCAGCCAGAGTAAAGAAGATAACGCTATAACAAATAGGTTGAAGCCTGAACACTGCCTTAGTGCATAACCACTGCACTGACAAGTATCTTTTCAGGAAGACTGAAATTGTTCTTCCAGATTGAAGGAGCCCTGTAGCTTTGGACACAAAATAATAAAATGTAGATTGTTGCTGTTAGGTCCAAGTATAACTCATAGCAACCCTATCAACAACAGGTGTGAGGTCTGTCCTATCCTTTATAATCTTCATCATCTCCAATACACTAGAGCTCGTTGCTACATGTCATTTTGTCAATCCATCTCATTGAAGGTCTTCCTCCTCTCTTTTCTAATCTTCCACCTTTAAGAGAGATAACCCTCCATCTCTGAGAGAGAATAACCTCTCTTAGCACCATGCCTAAAGCATGCGATACAAAGCTTCACCATCTGTTTGTTCTTTTGGCAGTCCAATCAATATTCAGTACTCTCTTCCAATAGCACAACTCAAAATTATCAATTCTTCTCCTGTTATCCTTATTCATTTTTAAGCTGTCAGATGCATAGCAGGTGAATGAATCAGGTGCATCTCAGTCATTAAATTGACAACACTGCTCCTCAAAACTATGAATAGGACCTTGACAGTCGACTTTCCCAATGCTATGTCTACAGATCTCTGAATTGCTGTTATCACAGGTGCTGAGGATGGAAGGAAAGTGAAATCTAATCACTAACACAAAACTCCTCGGCTGAGTCAAAGAGGCAAGGCAATCGTTGAGAAGGATTTCATTGCCTTCCCCGCCTGTTAAAAAAGTGTGTGGACAAATGCAATACCATCTAGTCTTGACCTGTGAGTACATAAAGGACCCCACATCCAGTAACAGTGGGATCCCAAGGGGGTGACACGGAAGGCTTCTAGGCTGCTGCTCGATGTGGTGTGTGGACAGCCTAAGACTGAGTGTGGCCTAAGCTTTTCACAGTTACTCATCAGTAATGCCAGCCATGTTTACCAAAGTCCTGGGGCTTTGAGGCCACAGGATGGGGAATGAAGAAACAGGAGCCAACAGATTACAGCACAAGGTGCTAGGTTGGCATCTGGCGTGTTGTTTCACAGGACTGCATGTGGATGTGCTGGAGGGGTGCTAACGTTTTCAGAAGGCCAGCCAGTTGGTTCATACACACAATACCTGCAAATGCTTTTCCAGTGACAGATTTTAAAAGAGCTTTAGTATGCTCTGTAAGGACCAACAAACTGTGTCTATAGGACGTTTTTCAGCATAAGATTCAAAATGGTGCTAGCCTGCATGCCATGGTAGAAAGGCTGGGCTGGTGATCCTGGAATTCCTACCCATTCAGATTAGAAATCCCTCGATCACCATTAAGGGGTGGGAGAGGAGGCTAGTCACACCTTTTTTGGGAAGGAGGTCGAATACTGAGAGGTCACTGTTTGTGGTACCTAAACCCAGTCTCCTGGAGGCTGCTCAGACTGAGTTCATATAATGTTTCCCCGGTTGTTATAAACGGTCCTTTCAACAATCTTATACCTCAATCTCTGTCTGATTTTGCTGTTAATAATCCACTGTATTTGATGATGGTAGGTTAACTGTTGATAACTTATTTCCTTGACCCTCTGGTCAAATCGGATCTCTTTGTCTACCTATTACGTTATCCCAGTGTAGTGGGTTTTTTTTCAAATGTACAAAATATCATTAAGATAATGAAATGAGAAGCCAAAATATTTCAAATAATGTATCTTGTATCTGATAATAATCCTGTGTACAGAATATGCAAAGACTTCTTACAACCCAATTAATCACGAGTGAAATAGTTTAACCAATTCTTTATCAAAGAAGATATAATAGCAAAAAAAGTATATGAAAAGATTTCAATTGAACATCTATTTACAGAAAACTGAACTAGGATCCACATCTCATATCACACACAAAAACCTACTCAAAGTGGATGAGGTACTTACGGGTAAAACCCAAAACCACAGAGATCTTAAGAGACAAAACGGGAACAAATTTACAAGTCCTAGCATATGGTATAAACAGGCTTGCAAACATAGCCAAAATTGCAAAGATGAGGATAAAATCGAAAACCAAGACCTTCTTAAAATCAAATCCCTACACACATCAAAACCCTTCTTTGACAGGATGA